CTGCAAACAGCAGTGATCTGAGACCATCAGCCCAATTAGCAACAATCAGTTTTCCACAAACCCTCAGCTTCCACCTTTCTGTAATCTGAACATCTGGGTGAGGTGGAGTCTCTGAAGTCTTAATAAAACAATTATACCCTTTCCCTAAATTATTCATGTCATCAAATAAGTTACATTTGTTATTTGAGTCATGAGTTATTTTTTTTTTTATCCAGGGTCCATTTTCTGATTATTGTCATGATCAGTTCATCTACTGGTTAATTTCTTTATCAGTTTGTCTTTGACAAAAGTCTGCAGACAGCTTGGATTTGTCCAAGCAGGCTGAGATAGTAAACAGATTATTAAACAGCAGAGGTCTTTAATTGAATATCAGAAAAGATGCAGTTAATTTTCATAATCCAATCACCTCAGCTCTAAATTTTGCAGCTCCTGTTTTTCCTGTCTCTGGTCAACTAATCCATCATCTGAGTAATGATGGTTTCACAGACTGTTATTTTACTGGCTTAGACCTGAATTTATCAAACTGTAATCAGGGGGAAGTTGTTTATGTGTTTGATTCTACATGCATGATTTTTCTTTTCTTTTTTTTCCAAATGTTCCTGCTGAGCAGCTGGAACCAGACAACACTGCCTTCTACATGCAGCAGCTGAGGAGCAGTTCATTCATTAAGTAACCGAGTGAATGATGCAAAAAAAAAATAAAAATTAATGAAGTATTAATGAGTCCTCACAAGACAGCATCACATAATTTATCGACAATTTTTTTGGCTTCACCTCACCACCGGACCTCCTGCTGTACGAGAGGGCAGCCCACCTGGTTAACCGGTACCCGAGCCTCATCTCATCCCGGAGCCCGGGCCTGAGCAGCGGCGTGAAGCTTTGCCGTCCCCCTTGTCCCAGGGGAAGAGGGCTGCTCTTGGGGGAAACCACAGAGATCCACAGATCTGGGCCACACCGTCCCAGTACTCCAGCTGTTAACTCACATCCATCCCGGTCGGCAGCCGCAGTCCTCGTTTTATCCCCGAGCGCATCCACTGTCGAGCGGCCTCGCCGAGACCGGTGCTCAGGGAGAAACTGTGATTGGTATACAATTCTGATTAGCTCGCCAGATAGCGTGCTAAGCTGCTAACGAGACGCGACTAGCGGGACACCGCTGCTGCCATGCTTGCTCTCACTCCGGCAGACGGAGGGGGGAGGGTAATCGCAAATCAACCGCCGAGCGTAACGTTTAATATTTAAGGTGAACGACTGCTTTAAAAATTTAAGATCGCTGGGGATCCCATTAGCGTGCTAGCATGATACCCGTTAGCCTATCTGCTGCTGCCTTCCACCGTCTCCTAGCGTCTTCCAGCCTCGTAAACCGTTTCCCTGGTAACGCCGTAGGTCCACACCTATTGGTAACTGGAGCTGACCCCGCCTACTATATGAATGTAGAAACCGAGCTCCAGGAACTGATAGTTGTGTTAGTGACGTGCATCCAGCAGAGGGCGGCACATCCACGACCAACAGAACGCCGCTATGTATTTATTTATGTTGATATTTGTATATGTGAACTAGAACCATTCTCTTCAGGCGTTTACAATTTTCGTTATTATTAGCATTATTATTATTATCCACTGTTATCTCGTTAAAGTTTTAGATTTTTAATATGATTATCAATTATTAATACTTTATTTTTGTCATTTTACCACCCATGTTATATTTGATGTTTCACTTAGTTTTGTTTATTTTTTCATTCGTCTCAAAAACCATTTG